ACACACACACACACACACACACACACACACACACACACACACACACACATTCAACAACCACCGAGATTCAAAAAAAGCAGACATTCCTTTGTGTTGTTGTTTTTTTATAAGACCTTCTTAGCTTGAGGCTCCTCATCCAGCATGGCCAGAGTTTTGGCAAATTCCTCGTCCTCATGGACCTGCTTTTCCAGCTGAGTGAGGTTGGATCGAGAAAGTACGAGAATGAGAAAGCAGACTTTGAATAAAGGTTGTAACTGAGCAGCAAATGTAGTTGTCTGCGTTACTCCTGGGAGTTTTTACATTCAAGTATTCAAGCAAACATTATATCATTATTTAAATTTCAGTAATTCTCCAAAAGATTCATATTTCTATTTTTCACATTTCCAGACATAAGAGGCAAACGTTTTAGGTTCTTAACTTTGGGTGCACCACCTTCATACCCTTACAGGCAGGCACACTACATAACAAATACTACACGAACACTTATTTTCATTATCGATGAATCTGCAGATTATTTTCTCAGATTAATCTTTTTGTCTAAAAATGTTTAAAAAGTGTAAAAAAGAAAGCCATTGTAATTTTCCATGGCCTAACATAACAGCTTCAATCTGTTTGTGTTATCCAACTAAGAGTCTACAACCCAAAGGTATTCAGTTTACAATTCATATCAAATAAATAATAAAACTCTTAAAATTTGGGCAACATTACATGAAAACCAAAACAGTTGAAGATTAAAACACATTTTCTCTCAATGGACTACTTGTCTCTGCTGTAACTACTAGTGCTGTTATACTGATACCTCCATCATGTCCTCCTCCATCTGCAGCTGTTTGGCGATTTGCTCATCACTCATCGGATCATCTGCTTCCTGAGTTGGCTGAGGAGAAGATGAGTTTTTAAACAAAGTCAGTTTGTTGTAAACAGATTCTTATTTGCTACTAAGATGAAAGGCCGAAAAAAACAGTTCAGTAAAGGGTTCAGTGGGTGACACTCAGAAAGCCCCGAATGTTGACGTTTTGGATGAAAAAGCACTCACGGCCTTTCGCTTGGTGCTGGCTACGAGCTTCTTATCGGACCGCTGGACCACCGCGCTGCCGAAGTAGTCGAGTACCGAGGTGGGGGTTTGTTTGTGCGGAGGAGGCGGAGCTGACTTTGGGGTGACGGGAGACTTCAGCACAGCTTTCCCCTGTGTGGTGGAGGGCCTGGACGGAGACTTGAGCCCCTCTTTGACTCCTGGACGAGCAGCGCTGGCACCTGCTTTTGTCGGTTTGGCCGTGCCGTTCTGCTTGGGTTTGGAGACCTTCTTCAAAGACTGAAAGTTGTCGCTGTCTGAGTCTACAAACAAAAAAAGAGAAATCAAATCAAAATATATCTTCAATAAATGTACTTCATTCCTCAAATTCAAGCTGGACCCATCTTCCTACTAATGTGTTTCCCTAATTATTAACATTATGACATGAATGGATGCATTTTGCCTGTTGCACTTCCAGCTGTCTTTCATACCAGCTAGATTCTAGCTGGTATGACAGACCATAAACTAATATATGTTCTTCTCCGTGGAAGTCAGATTTCAAAGCCGTGCAGACTACGGCTACACTTAAGTATGAGATCATCTCTGATCCCCTCATCGTCATCAAGGTAAATGTGACAATTAGTCACGACATGGACGTCAGGTCATGTTGCACGGTTCAAGCATGTGTGTCTGCAGTATAAGGAGAAACCACCGACCCATTACCTGTTTCAGAGACATACTGCACAGGATCTTTTTTGGGCGGTGGCTTCGTTTTGCTCGTAGTCCGTTTCTCTTTGGGGGACTTCTTCGACTTCCTCGCTGGCTTCTCATCCTCGGAGTCTGGACAGACAGAAAAACAAGGACGCGCCATGAAGAGAAGACGCAGGGAGGTCTGAATGGCAATTCAATCGGATTGTCAGCCTAGAAAAACCTTCTCAGCAACGGTGATTATTACAGAACATCCCTCTGCATATCAAAGATGGAACAGATGCTTTGCTCTGTGCCTCGGATGTAACAATAACACAGGAGCATCATGGTGCAGGGGGATGATGTAGAAGCTCAGACTCATGCTTACCGGATTCTATGACTATATGCTTCCTTCGTTTTGAGTCACTGTCCTTCCGTCTCTCCTCTGGTCCGGAGCTTTTCACCTGAAGCACATGAACCACAACGAAACATGAGGAATAATGAAACAGATGAATCACTGAAAGGAGGGCAGGGGGGGGCGCGACATCATTTCCTTGCCTTGGTGGTCTCCTTCTTCTTCACTTCCTCGTCGGAAGAGAGAGGATTCTTCTTCTTCTTCTTCTCTGTTTTGACGTTTCCGGGTGGAGCTGGTTTCTGCACCGCAGGCTTGTCTGAAGTCGGTGTAAAGAACCGCCTGATGTCCTGCGCGCGGACAGTAGACATGTAACGTTATGACGTTTAACCGGATAACGAGGTTATTGACTGAGCACACACATTACATTTATCTGACGTCACGTACAACGTTAACGTTGCATACTGGATACAAAAATGTATGCTTTACAGTTTGAAGATTTCCTCCTCTGACATTGATTTTTTTCATTTTAGGGAAAAGTGCATCATTTAAACTCTAAGGAAACAGCAGGAACATGTCAACTGTTAGCTAGTTACAACAGAGCAAACTATTATCAACTCAACGTGTACTCGCTGTCTTTGAGGAACACTTGCTCATCTTTAGCTGCAGCTAACACTGAGCATTGGTCTTACGTTTCAACAGCAGCAGAAGTTCAACAAGACAACAGGATTCTTTTCGCGTTTTGTGACCACGTTGTTTATACTGACAGCTTGCAGACAGAGCGGATGAAATGTGTAACTCACCATTATAAACAGCTTTCTCGCAGTTTACGGTCAGGCTTGTTGTCAGAAAAAGTAATTTAATCATCCAACTGCTTGGCGCGAAGCTGGATTCTGTCGCCTGAAGATGACGTACAACCGGGAGTTAGTGGGTGTGCGTCACTGAACGTGCGTTTGGTTGTTTTTCAAAAATGATTTACACAGCAATAAAAATAAAAACAAATAAACCACCCAAATTATGAAATAAAGAGCAAGGGGACAGTAAATAGGGTTATCAAGAGAGGAAATATGAATATATTTAAAATGTATATAGTATATACTAGAGATAATAAATAGTTCATTTGGGGATTTCTTTTGTTATTCTTTTCTAAATTCTATCTAATTGCGAATGTTAAAACTTAACAAATTAATCAGATATTAATTAAAAGAAGGGTCTCTATTAGACTCCATGCATGATGTAAATATAATGTAACTTTATTTCAACCTCTTTTTCAGGAGTGTCCTGACCAAGATAGCAGCACCACATAGTTCATACAACATAAAGCTGAGAAAACAAGGACTGACTTATAATGATTTAGAATAAAATATGACACTAATCATATACTATAATAAGTAATGAGTATGCTACGAGTATTACCCAGTTAAATGTTCTGATCATTAAGATTGAGCAAGTGAGTATGGTTGGTTATTGTTTTGAAAGATTATGCAATTGCTTTTGTTTTTTTTAACTTTCAAGGGCACACAGTTTTGTATATCTTTTCAAAATGCATGTCTATGTATATACTGAAAGGACACATGTTCAATTGTTGTCTCTATAGGAGGACAAAAAATACAAGTGTCCATCTCAAACTTAAATTTCTGATTTAAAAGAGCACATGTCGAGACGCTGACGGTGGAGGGGTAAGAATGACAATTAATGTACATAAAATTGTATAAAGCATAACTCAGATTTTTACATTAAAATTTGATTCCCAATAGAGAGAAATATAATCACATATTAGAGTCGCTGTAAAAAGCCTTTGTTTCTCAGGTGAAAGTTTCCTGGAATTCACTCCTTTTTCTAATATTTACTTTGACGCCACAGCGTGTGATTTGGTGCCCTTTGATTTGTTGACTGATACCATGTTTCCACAATAAAAATCAATGAATGCTCAAATGAATAATGTTGTGGAGGCCAAGGCAACACGGAGGCCAAGGCAACAGGCTGACACTGAAAGAAGAGAAGATATTTCTGCAGCGCTTTCTCTCAGCCTCTTTTTTCCTGCTCTTAACTCTCATCCTCTTCTTCGTCCTGCCGAGCCCCACAGTCACTGTGGGGCTGGAGCTGGAGGTTTTTTTAAATGTCCAGCGAAAAGATCTAAAACGGTGAAAAAGACTCAACTCAACATGGTCAGCAGCGTGTTGTCAGTATTGTGACACACAGATTTTAAACTTCAAAGCAAAACAAACAGTAAAAAATATAAAAAGAAAGACATCTCATAGGACAAAGAGACATGGAGACATGTGTCCTGCCATCTCGGATTTTAATGCATTACTGTTGCACTCCTAAATTCCACATTTGAGATTGACTTTGCAGTATACATTTTGAATAGGGGGACACTGTGTTACCTGAATCTGAATTTATATAGCGGGGAGGCTGCATTAATGGCTGTGAGTGCAATGACATTCAATTTGTTTCAACACTGACATTACAATGTTTTAGTTTAGGAAACTAAATGATGTGAAAGCTGTAGAAACAACCCTTTGCAAAGTTAAACCTGAGAAACTGGTCTCAAACATCAGTGAGGCGAGTGCTGGAGACTATGGGTGTGGTGTCCTGTGGTGGAGGCTACATCACTGTGATGTCCAACAGCTTCTGACAACCGGATTCGTTCGATGCAGCCCTGGATCAAACCGATCCCAGACCCTAAACAGCAGCTAAACCAAAGAGCAACATCTTCATGACACAGCAAGCAGCTACATGTTAAACCCCAGAAAGTATGGAGACCCACACCTGACATGACAAACTAAATATACAGTGGGTACGGAAAGTATTCAGACCCCTTTAAATTTTTCACTCTTTGTTTCATTGCAGCCATTTGCTAAAATCAAAAAAGTTCATTTTATTTCTCATTAATGTACACTCAGCACCCCATCTTGACAGAAAAAAACAAATGTAGAAATTTGTGCAAATTTATTAAAAAACAAAAACTGAAATATCACATGGTCATAAGTATTCAGACCCTTTGCTCAGTATTGAGTAGAAGCACCCTTTTGAGCTAGTACAGCCATGAGTCTTCTTGGGAATGATGCAACAAGTTTTTCACACCTGGATTTGGGGATCCTCTGCCATTCTTCCTTGCAGATCCTCTCCAGTTCCGTCAGGTTGGATGGTGAACGTTGGTGGACAGCCATTTTCAGGTCTCTCCAGAGATGCTCAATTGGGTTTAGGTCAGGGCTCTGGCTGGGCCAGTCAAGACTGGTCACAGAGTTGTTCCGAAGCCACTGCTTTGTTATTTTAGCTGTGTGCTTAGGGTCATTGTCTTGTTGGAAGGTGAACCTTCAGCCCAGTCTGAGGTCCAGAGCACTCTGGAAGAGGTTTTCTTCCAGGATATCTCTGTACTTGGCCGCATTCATCTTTCCTTCAATTGCAACCAGTCGTCCTGTCCCTGAAGCTGAAAAACACCCCCATAGCATGATGCTGCCACCACCATGTTTCACTGTGGGGATTGTATTGGGCAGGTGATGAGCAGTGCCTGGTTTTCTCCACACATACCGCTTAGAATTAACACCAAAAAGTTCAATCTTGGTCTCATCAGACCAGAGAATCTTATTTCTCATAGTCTGGGAGTCCTTCATGTGTTTTTTGGCAAACTCTATGCGGGCTTTCATATGTCTTGCACTGAGGAGAGGCTTCCGTCGGGCCACTCTGCCATAAAGCCCAGACTGGTGGAGGGCTGCAGCGATAGTTGACTTTGTGGAACTTTCTCCCATCTCCCTACTGCATCTCTGGAGCTCAGCCACAGTGATCTTTGGGTTCTTCTTTACCTCTCTCACCAAGGCTCTTCTTCCACGATTGCTCAGTTTGGCTGGACGGCCAGGTCTAGGAAGAGTCCTGGTCGTCCCAAACTTCTTCCATTTAAGGATTATGGAGGCCACTGTGCTCTTAGGAACCTTGAGTGCTGCAGAAACTCTTTTGTAACCTTGGCCAGATCTGTGCCTTGCCACAATTCTGTCTCTGAGCTCCTTGGGCAGTTCCTTCGACCTCATGATTCTCATTTGCTCTGACATGCACTGTGAGCTGTAAGGTCTTCTATAGACAGGTGTGTGCCTTTCCTAATCAAGTCCAATCAGTTTAATTAAACACAGCTGGACTCCAATGAAGGAGTAGAACCATCTCAAGGAGGATCAGAAGAAATGGACAGCATGTGAGTTAAATATGAGTGTCACAGCAAAGGGTCTGAATACTTATGACCATGTGATATTTCAGTTTTTCTTTTTTAATAAATTTGCAAAAATTTCTACATTTGTTTTTTTCTGTCAAGATGGGGTGCTGAGTGTACATTAATGAGAAATAAAATGAACTTTTGATTTTAGCAAATGGCTGCAATGAACAGAGTGAAAAATTTAAAGGGGTCTGAATACTTTCCACTGTATGACAAAGACATTGCTAAAATACCGAAACATTTAAATTATGTTTGTTATTTTTAGTTTTATTTCACAATGCTAAGGCTTTATTTTTTCTAGTATTTGTTACTCATACAATTAACAATTTTAAGTTTGTCTACAACACTTGGGTATGAACAAGTAGTGACTTTTCTTTTTAATGAAGGTCTTCTCCTTCGTTCACATTACAACTCATTTTCCATTTATACTTTGGAGTCACCATTACGTGTCTACTTCGGCCACTAGACTTCATGTTCTCATGCTGCGAGACTAAATGAATGCTTCATGTTAGGCTAATAGTATTCGTGCGCTTTTCTTAAGTAGCGGAATGGAAATACAACTGCATTTTGTTGTGCAACCCTGTGTACAGTGACAAACTAAACTTTGTCTTCCAAGTGGTACAAATAAATGTGACATAAAGATGCAGCAGACAGATTGACTGGAAAAGATGGTAGTTTTATTGGTCATAACAGGACATGGTGAACAATTCTGCATCTTGCTCCACCACAGTAGTCTTCTCGCTGACTTGGAAGACGTCCAGGAACTTCCTGATGTCCTTTCTGACCACGGTGGCCTTTTAGACTGAGGCCTCTGAAAAGAAAAACACATATAAATTACCACAATATGCTAAATTACTGAGGCCTGAATGACATGAGCACTAATAAAGCAGACGTCTAGTTTCTTCAGAAAACATTGCAATAAATCAGATTTTAGATGCGGCGGTTAGTCTTAAATGAGGAAATTAAACTCAAAAACACGACAAGGCATCTGAAGCAAAAAACATACGGCTGGACAACAGTTCAGTGCTAATTATAGACCTCCAGTGGAACCATGTTGTGGTGATATGATCCATGTATTGTTTCACAAAACTGTGTGGGCCCACATCAACTATAAAGAAATATAAATACTGATGGTTAACTTTCATGTAACGAGTTTTGAAGTCCCATAAAAGAGGCATCCTCCATAAACTATTCTATTTTAGAAATGACACTCAAGGCAGTATCTCAGTTGTGAATTACATTTTCTTTTAAATACCAGAAAACTAAAAGGAACAGTCATGACTAATCAAGAGTACAATTATTCTTCCAACACATTTATTAACTTTTTTTGGTCGATTGTTGATCAATTGTTGCAGGTTCTAGCTTCTAAAATATACGGTTTTGAAGCTTTTCTTTATCATATATGACAAATATTCTCAGTGATACTTTTGTATTGTTGGTCAGATTAAAAGAGTATTTAAGGATCTGTTTTTTTTTTTTTTTTTTACCATTTTCTGCTATTTAATATGATTAATCCTGAAAACAATCAGATTACTGAGTGAAAAAAGTATCAGTAAATTACCATATTGCAGAATCTAACAGAGGAAAGAGCAACTACAGAACAGAAACATGTGGCTGCATTGCCACCAACACATCAGAGTGTAAGGAACATGCAAAGATAAAGAAAATGGGCTTTGGCAGCAGTGTCTGACCTCAACGAGTGCAGATGTAAAGTTTACTTAGACGATTCCACTGTTCCCTTCTCAGACACGTAGATACCGTCCAAGAACTTCCTGATATCCTTATTTTTGACTGTGGTGGCCTGTTGGATCAGCGCAGCTGGAACAGAGAGAAGTTGGGATGATGAGCAACACAACAATGATGGAGGAGGAAAGGAGAGACTGAAGATCAGACTGAGGAGCACTGGAGAATCAGGAAGTACTAACATCATGACAGTCGTGATGTTGTGGCTCAGTATTTCACATTTGTAATGACGTAATGGTAGTTAAATCCACATCACATGAAAAGTGATTCTATAGATAACCAATATCAAAAATGAATGATCTGGTGTCAGGGAGTAACAGTGCTGGAGAAGGTAATTATAAGGAAATACGAATAAAAACTAAACTGAGGTAAAGTGATGGTAGAATTTGTACAATATGTTCCAATGTAGACAATAAAAAGGTGCCGACATTCTTGAGGTTATAGTTAACTGAAGTCAGTGGGTTGGTGAGGTATATCTGAGGCACTGTTAGATCCATGTTTAAAGTATTATTACACCAAGCTTTAAGGCAGCATCGATGAATCAAAATGATTATAAAAGGGAGCCTGCTGAGGAAATAATGACATACAATCCAACATTGAAGTTGAGGAGAGTTTTAACAACCGGAAAGCAGAATGTATGGGTCTGAACATGGGGGAGGATGTTAGCAGTGGTAATGTTATGAATCGTTCCCCTCTGATGTGGAGAAAAGCTGCTGCGCCATATAGAACAGCTGTGGAGAAAAAGGCGACAGCGTACCCGAGTTTGACACCAGCTCAATGTCGTTACCCTCCAGCACCAGCTCGTCCTTCTGGACAGTTGAGACGGCACAATTCACACCTGGGGAAGAGATATAAAAAAATCATTTTTCCATTCACAATGGGATCAAATTACAGTCACAAATTAGCACATTTTAAAAACTTGGGATTCTTGGATTCCCCCCCCCCAACTACAATATTCCCAAAACTTGCAGACTCACCATTCCTCATTCTAACACGGCGGATGTACTTCTCTCCCAGGAAGTTCCTGATCTCCACCATAGCTCCACCCTCCTGCATGACCACGTTGATTGGGAAATGGGCGTACACAGAGCGCATTTTGTACCGGAAACCCTGCAGTGAGACAGAAGCGACAGAGGCATTGAGCCGAGGCGTAGAGGCAAACTAAATATATTGTTCTCACAGCCAGGCGGAACAGAAACCATACCACTACAAAACACACTAATCCCACCATAGAGACTGGGCACAGATCTTATAATAGCAGTTTGGCACCGGTACAATTAGCCTTTGTCAATAACTCAAAACAGCATCAGACAAATTCAACTGTAGTCTCACCAAAGTGACTCCCTTGATCATGTTCTGGACGTGGCTGCAGATGGTGCGGACGGTGGCCAGCTCCTTTCGGTTTCCCCACCATTTATCCACACGAAGCTGAGGAAGACAGCACGGCGACTCATGACTCAGTGCCAGAAAACAAGCAACTCCAAGACATCACTGACATCTCTGGGATATTGCTCTGGCCATTTTAACAAGTTACTGGCAATTTTCAGATTAATATTCATTTAAAAAAACAAAAACAACGACTGACAGATGATCAAAAAAACAGAGCAGATCTTCTGCCCTTCTGAATTATTTAAGTGCATCAGTACAAGGTTATTGGTATCCAACTTACTTGTGATGATACAAGCAACAATTTAACATTCTACAAATGGGTTTTCGTGGTAACCATTCAATCAATTTGCCCAGTGGTATTTGAGCCTGCCTACACATTGCTGTTACAGTATGGCACTGAAGTGCCAGCCACAGTACGCTTCATAATGGAACCGTGTTCCTCCGTACCTTCTTCTGTTTCTTGCCCAGCAGACTGAGCTCCAGGTTGATGTGGTTGAACTCCCTGACGAGTTTGCCACGGGGCCCCTTGACCGTCACCGTCCGCCCCTTCAACCTCACCTCGACTGCAAGAGACGCACACGGAAAAGGTGTAAGAAGCCACACTTTACACAAGTAAGAAGTTAAATACAGGTACCTCAAAGAGCATGCATCAATCACCGGTTTCTTACCATTGTCGGGGAGTTCGACAGTCTGACTGCTGAGAATGGTCTTCATTCTGTAAAAGAGACACAGTGAGTGTTTTACGCTCTGAAGCTTGTTTGCATCCCTTATGGTACACGACAGCTTTACTTTCATTAGCTTTACTTAGCATTCAATGTTGACCTGCCATGTTGTACATCCCACAACTACAGGACAATGTTTGGTTTCATGCGACAGTGCACCTACTGTAAATCTGGACATAGTTATGAAAAGTGTCTAGCATGAGCAGCTGAGCACAGCCACATCAACTAGCACTGTGCTAATGCTAACGGAATGCTACATTGGGCACTGACACCGGTTGTCACACATGTGTATCGCTGAGCAGGAATCATTTTGCTACACAGTAATGTGCGTAATTAGCAGCTGACGCCACAAGAATACGTGAATGTATTTTATATGTTATTGAACGTGCAGCGGCCCTGAGCACGGATACCCGGCGCTACAACGCCAGGCCTCAGACAGACAGCGTAACGTTAACCGATGGAAAAACAACTAAGATATTTCTTAACAAACCTAAAGTAAAGGCAAAATACAGCTTATGTAGTGAACCATAATAATGTCTGCATCTGGTGGTATAAACATAAGCCAAAAACAGGCTTAATTGACACAGATGGAGTTAGATGAAACTCAAGGAATAGTTTTTCAGCTATCCTCACCTCGTCGGTAGCAAAGGAAAGGGGGAAGGAAGGACGTCACGACGCAATTGTAGAGCACGTACGTGCTGTGACCAGGCATTATCAAACAATCGAGGAACGTCATGATTATTTGCATGGTGTATGTTGGTTATATAGTTATAACAGAAATGTACAGTGAGCAAAATCCTGTAGCTGGAAAACTGGGAACAAATACCAACCGACATACAGAAGTTGTTTTAATGTCAATATGTCAACGACATTTCCTCCTAGTTAGCTCTGCCGCATTCATATCCATTTATAAAGACCGAATCACGTCTAGTCGGATAGTAGTCACTTCAGCTCTCTTTCTTTGTTGCACAAAAGAGGTTTTCAACCTCAATAGGACTAACCTTGTTAAATACAGTTTGAAATATTTTTTTCCATAAATTAAACTTGGTTAGTGCATTTAACCAGTGTTGGAACCGACCAGTGAACGCACTACATCGGAGAAAAGCAGGATTGTGTATCTTCCCACTCTGTGTACACCACATGAACGCAGCACCAGACCAAAGCAGCCGATCGTCGAGGTTTGTTGCCAATGACAGTCGCCTGCTAGCTAAAGTCATGGCGCTGCTAAAACGAAGTTGCTGTGTTGCTGGCCGTTTTTCCGCAAATCATCTATGGCTGAGTCCCAGATGCATCCCACATGTGAGTATTTTCACTGCTCGAGTATTCTCCAACTGACAAACACCGACGGTCTGGGTAATCTGTCAACGGAGACCGTCAGCTGTGAGCCTGGCCATGGGCCTCGGATGTTTTGTAACTAAGCCGGATTGACAATAAGGCAGTTTATAACTCCCCCAATAAGTAGCATATTATACGGACTCGTAAACATCCCGACAGCATAATATTATATGAAGTATCTCTGTGAAGTAGTGAGCCCTGAACCTCACCTCAGCCCTTCCTCTGCAGGTTTACACCAGCAGTCTGACGACTGTGGCAAAATCCTCCCCAGACCGGACTGAGAGAAAGAAGGAGCTGCTGAGTGACGACGGGCCCGATCTACAAGACTTCATTTCAGGGGAATTATCTGAGAAAAGCAAGTGGGCAGAGTACAGAGGCAACCTGAAGAGAGGGAAGGGAGAGAGGTGAGACAGCAGAGAGATTGTGGTAAACATGGGGGACAACATGGGAATTGTTAGTTCTCTATTCAATAGAGAACTAACAATTCTCACAGTCTATTGTATCTGTGAGTGTAGAGTGTTATCAGAAGGGTTCAAAGACCATCTACAAGACTGTGCAGAAATGAATCAAGCATCAGTTTTCCCACTAGGCTACACATGCATCTATTGTGAAACCCTGCTGGGCCCTCTGCTTTTACATGGAATCCCTTCTGCGCTTCATTGAATCACTTGAATCTGAATCAGTTCTAGTTTACCAGGAAGTGGTTTTGTTGTCATTGGTAACCGTTAGGCCACATGAAAGTTGTCAGTGTAAGAGACAAGTATTAGTAAACACAAACAGTATAGATGACTGTGACTGACACAGCAAACAGTGTGGAATATATGTATTTATACTCCGTAATGATATATGCATGTATGTACATTGTGTGTCCATCTGCACACTAGGTATTGTTTGTCTTGCATTATTCATACCAGGGTTATAGTTAAAGTATATTTCAAGCATTACTGTTGTGAATTTAAAAAAGGGTTTTTATTATTATTATTTAAATGGAATATTAACTGAAGTCCATTTAAAAAAAAAAAAAAAAGAAATCTGAGCCGACATGTCCTCGTTATTATTGTTTAAATAAACACAACTACTATGTACATACGAGTAGGTTGAAATAGGTGTGTACATAAAAAAACAGTAACAACCTACATTATTCACTAGGACTGCTTTAAGGTTTAGGAATATACAAGATTTCTGATTCATAAAAAAATATATTGATTTGCCTTTCAGGTAGCATTCCCATCTGGTTATTTTATTTATAAAAGTGTTTTTCAAAGTTTAATTTTCACAGAATGTCCTGTATCCCAGTGTGTGTGTGTGGTGAAGATGATTTGATCCACGGCTTCTCAGAGACCAGAGCTCTCTTGCACATTCAGTGAGCGTCTCTGCTGATGTTTCTTTGTGACAGGCTGCGGCTTCCTCCATGGCTGAAGACGGAGATCCCCATCGGGAAAAACTTCAACCGGCTGAAGAACACACTGAGAGACCTCAACCTGCACACAGTAAGTTTTGTAGACTGGCGACAAGTTAAAGGAACAGTCCGCATAAGTGAGCGGAGAAACTGGGCGAGGCATTGACACGACATGTACCCGTTGATGGATGGGTCACAACATATCCTTACAATGTTATTTCATTTTTTTATATTTTTAACAAATGTTATTCATACTCTTAGAGCATGACCATCAGATTACATTTTTTTGGATCATTTTTAATATTTATTATTAATATTTGACACGTTCTGTCAAGTATTAATAGACAGTTTATACAGCCTTTTAGTTCAAAGAACAGAAAATAATTTCAACATTTAGACCGTGTTCATCAATACAGAGAATGGTGGTTTGCTTATGGAGAATTTTGATTGATAGCTGTGATATTTATGCCTGATATCATACAGAATTGTGAACTCGTTACACTCTGTTTCCACTCAAACTCAGTGGAGTGGGCGGATCCAAAGGTCTGGACCCAGCCAAGTATTTAGCTAGAAGGTAAATAAAGTCAGTCACTCTGATATCTTGAGACCCATTCGCAAAAGAAACGCTTGCTTCGGCTGTATTCTTCAAATATATCACGGGCTGTAGTGATATAGTGAGTTTCACCATGGAGACTAATATATCTGATCAAGTCCGGGAACCCGGTGTCGCTTCTTGTGCATTTGAGGATTGTGTGTGTGTGTTTTTTTTTCCTCAGGTGTGTGAGGAGGCCAGGTGTCCTAACATCGGGGAATGCTGGGGAGGAGGAGAATACGCCACAGCCACAGCCACCATCATGGTTAGTCTCCCGGCACACTGGCTTTGTGGTGCAACTGAATTTTACTGACAGTTATAGAAAAGTGTCAGCACACCTTTTTCACCAAAAAAAACCAAGCACACTTTATTGACAATAAAAGCTGATCTCTGTAGATCTTGTAAATGTGTACGTGTCTCCACAGGCTAACCTAAGCTGCTTTATTCAAAAGATTGATGTAAAATCCATAATCCACACATTTAATAAACCAATGCTTGGTATATATATTTTAAGAAAACATCTTATGATATCTGTGTGGATCATCTGCTCCTGTCATACGACATGCATATCACAGAGTTTTTTAATTTATTTTTGTCCCTCTCTGTATGTAGCTGATGGGGGACACGTGTACCCGGGGTTGCAGGTTCTGCTCCATAAAGACGGCTCGTCGGCCTCCACCTCTGGACCCAGACGAGCCCTACAATACAGCCAAGGCCATCGCGGCCTGGGGGCTGGACTACGTGGTTCTCACCTCAGTGGACAGAGACGGTAACGGCTCCCTAACGCAATGCACCTACCTACTGGAGCAACGTTACATCGCTGCTCGCAGGGAAATTTCAAATTTCACAAGGGGAAAAGGAACCCTCGCTTTTTTAAAAAACATTAACAACACACACACACAAGCACACACACGCACACACGTAAGCTTCAGTATAAGTCCAGCCACATTTAACACGTTGCACATATCTTTCCAAACATACCGTGCTTTGTTCCCCAAATGTTTTTGGCTACTATTATCTTCATCAGGGAGGGATCTGAGTTAGTTTGTGGTTGCTTTAAATCTGGTCAGTCAGTTCGTCATGCAACTTATAAATCAGCAAAAATACAAGGTTTTCAAAACAGTATTCGTCATATTTTCCACCACAGTTTTTACAGAATACACGTTTCCTCCTAATAGATTTTAAGAAACACAAACGTCCACCAATTCAAAATAACCAACTAACTTTTCAAAATATTAGCTAACAGTGATGCCCTGTAGTCACATTTATATTTTACTTTTGCAGATATTGCTGATGGAGGGGCAGATCACTTTGCTAAGACCGTCTCCAACCTGAAGGAAAGGTATAAACTCCCGTCATGTTTGGATTCATCGGGTGTTTGTATCTTAATAGCAGTGCAAAATGAATAAATAAGCATTTTTGTCATCCTCATCTCAGGGACTCTCACATCCTGGTTGAGTGTCTGACCCCTGACTTTCGCGGTGACTTGGCAGCAGTAGAGAAGATCGCCCTGTCTGGGCTGGATGTGTATGCCCACAACGTGGAGACGGTGCGAGAGCTGCAACGGTACTGCCTCAGCACATTGCCTCTGTATTCATACCGACCTTTTATATACGGGCTGTCATTAATTCTTTCTTTTTTTTATAATGCTCAAAGTTAGAAGTTGAGCATCTAATCTCTGTTTCAACATTGATCAATGCCTGAATGCCTTGGATCCATCAGCTTTCACTAACCTCTGATCACCCAACAAGCCAAAGCATAGCAGGGTTTTTGAATCGTCTTGCAGAGGTATAATAAATAAATATCATTCATATTGCCCTTTGCACAACAGGGAGAATGTGTTTACAATGATATGCAAGAGCACTTAACAATGTGTCATATTGGGCTGTAAGATTTAAATTCACCAATCACACATTCTAAATAGTAAATGATTTAGTTTATTATTTAAATATATAAATGATTTAAATCATGATAAAAAATAATTTTAATCAAAATTTAAATAATGTTTTTAAGTAGTTGTTTGAATAAATTATTAACATACACACACTTTCCAGCTTGTATTTGATATTTAAAATAAAAACGCTGTTACTGTACCCAATTACAGCTCTGCCACAAGAGGGAACAGGACAGTAATACACACACTGACCAGCAGGGGGCACAACAGATCCAGTCTATGTTGGGATAAATAGTGCAGAAGTGTAAAAACAAGGAAGAAGCACTGTGGAAGTTTAATTGTTTATGGTAATCTGGCTGTATATTTCCCCTTTTTATTATTTTAATTTCTCATGATGTCCATCTGTCGGTAGGTTTGTCCGTGACCCCAGAGCCAACATTGACCAGTCTCTGAGTGTCCTCAGGCACGCTAAAAAGGTCAACCCCACCGGGCTCACCAAGACCTCCATCATGCTGGGACTGGGCGAGACGGATCAACAGATACTCAACACCTTGACCGGTGTGTACACACAGATACAATCCTAACGCAAAGCACAACACATTCCTAAACCACACTGTTCTGGTGATGTTGCAGAGCTGCGAGAGGCAGGAGTGGACTGCCTAACACTGGGCCAGTACATGCAACCCACTAAACGCCACCTGAAAGTAAGCACATCACACATTGCCCATTTACTAAGGCAAACAGCACTGCCGGATAAATGTGCTCACGTGGTTAAGGTGAAGCACGCTGTGACGATGTGTGTTTGGGTGTAGGTGGAGGAATACGTTACTCCGGAGAGGTTCGCCCACTGGGAGAACGTTGGGAATGATCTGGGCTTCAGCTACACAGCCAGCGGGCCACTGGTGCGATCCTCCTACAAAGCAGGTGAGAAACACGCTCCGTGTTGGGACGGTTCACGGATGGACTTTCAGAATGTTGAAATCGTTCTCCTAATTTACCCTTTAAATTCTTATTCAAAGATCAAGGCTTTAGTTTGCTCTTCTCAAGCAAATGACATGTGGTCAGAGAGAATATACATTTTTCTCATGTGTCTTCTCTCCTAACAGGCGAGTTCTTCCTGAAGAATCTACTGGAGAAGAGAAAAGCAGAAGTCCCCATAGCCGAATGAAAAGCATAGAAGCAGCAGCAGCAGCTTCTAGAGGCTTTCTCCCTTTAGTGTCGACCCGACTACAACTATACGCATCTACACGGACGGCTTTACTCCTGCCGGACCATAATGCATCACTGTACGCTGCAGCACAGGAAACACTTAACTTTATAGGAGTAGTAACAAAAAACAAACAAAACCAAAAACAAGGCCGATGACATTTAGGAGACCTCATGTAAGTACAGGGACCATTCTGTTCCTTTTCAACACTTGTTCTGCTTATTTAACCTTCACCAACTCTGAATAATAACGTTTGAGAGAGAGGAGATCAAAGAGAGCAAGCAGCGTTTAAAGGCCTGCAGGTTTGTAGATAAACTGGATGAGCAGAAACCTGGTGTTAGCAGAGGCAGTGATTTGCAATCTCTGCACCACAGGGGCCCCTAAATCACACCAACCATGAACTCCCTCCCCTCAGGGGCCCTGGACTTCAGGTAGAGCTACTGATCTTTGACCCCTGGCTCCGTTTATCAACTCTTTGATGTCTGCTGGTTCACAACTGATTTAATGAAGCATTAAAGAGGGTGTGTTCTTCTTTTTTGGGTTCCATTATTCAAGACTTGAAGAGAAAGTACAATTCAAGCCTTAAACTGTCCTTTTGTCGGATACAGAAGTATGAGGAGGAGGAGGTGCCTTTGATATCTGTATCTGATAAAGAGAGTTTAGGCTCAAACAAATTTTTTTAAGGTAAAAAACTATTTTGACTTTTCACCTGGCCAAGAAAGATGTGCGTTTACTTTCTGCACCGATTGTTGGGACAGAAGAAACCTTTGAAATGTACATTTGTATTTAAAGAATTAAAATTCATCAGTGCACATTTCCTGGTTTTCTTTTTTTGTGTCCCTTTTATTTTTCTTCTTTCCATCGAGTCGGAACAATCAACAGGCACAAATGAAGGACAGGCGTCACACTTTATTGCATCCTTTCGAAGTAAAGAGTCACTGATACGGAGGACAAACACTGATTGACATACAGTTATGATTTATAAAAATATTTTTTTAAAACAGTATAAAATGTATTTTGCAATTAAGCAACCATACTTGATTATAGAGTAAATACTGTAGGAAAGTAGACTCATCTAATAGTGTTTAGTTGAAATAGTGCATGTATGACTGCATCTGACATATTTTGGCTGATAAATGCTATTTGATTTCTTCCAATGACTTGATCACAGTCACACAGTTCTGAAGGCTCAGCTTTTTCCTCAGACCTACTGCAGGGCAGCAGTTACTCCCGCTGCTCTGGCCCTTTTGATCCTTAGGCATGTAGCAACAACAGAGTAGGGTTGGACCTGAATGAAAGGTTTCACCAGCAATTAAAAAGGTTGAGAGAGGAATGTGTTGCATGTTGTTCGTGTGTGTGGGTGAGTTTTAGACTTTGGCTTTCTTGGTGGGAGGTTCACTGACGGCTATGCGAGGACCAACGGCTGCCGGGGTGTAGGGGATTCGCGTCGCCGTCACCTTCTTACCGATGGTCTCGATCTGCGGACAGAGAAGGCAGCGGCTTTCATTTTTATTCTGTGCGCGACGCGTCGCGGTGAAGGCGCGGCGCGGCGTGTTTTCTCGTCCGCTCACCTGGAAGCCGATGTTCTGGAGGTGAGAGTGGAGGTGGTCCAGCACTCTGCGGCCGTCAAATATGAAGGCCGGCTTCAGCATCTTCTTGTAGATCTTCTCGTAGTCCAGCTCCTGTGGTGGAATTAGACGGGGTATGACGACTCAAAGGTCTATATTTTTATTTATTTATTAGGTGGGAGGAAAAAAACTGTGATTGTGACCTTAAACATGTCCCACTCGGTGCAGATGACCAATGCGTGTGCAGTCTGACAGGCCTCGTAAGGGTCGGAGGTCACGGTCACCAGCTCCGACACTAGGAAGAAAAAACAAGTGTGTCACCTCGGCTACAGCGCAGCATCCGTAAGAAAGGACGGAATGGTTTTAACTTTAAAAACAAACATTCAGCAGAGTTTGTGTTGTCCTGTTTTACATCGTCTGCTTAAAATGAGGTACCAATGAATAAGCAAAGAATACAATGCCCAATATGAATTACTTCTAAGACTTTTTCCAATTTCTACACAATGTTAGAAAATAGTGAAACCCAAAGATATAAAAATGTTCTGTCAGACGGTGAAGAAAACCAGATTTGACATAACACATACATAACTACATGCAACACCACCAAGAATCCTCTGGTAACCCATTATAGTTTTAGCATTGTGTACATTTTGGATTTGCTTTCCTACTTCTTACTGCAACTACTACACAACAAATTCCCATGAGATTAAAAAATAATTTACCATTTCAGGGGCTGGAACCAGTGATGTTATGGCATTTCCCTAAAAATTACTTTAAATAATAATTATCAAAGTATTTGACCAGAGTTTTTTGGTGGGTGGTACTGGAAGCTCTCACGGTTGGTCACCCTCCCCCCCCCTCTCTCTCTCTCTGATGTATCGTATGTAATAAAGGCAGATAAACACACACCTCTTCCTGGGTTGTCCTCTGAGATGTTGGGCTGGGAGAGGTCATGAATGATTTGTTCCTTGAGGACTTTGGGGTCATAGATGAACAGCTTGGCTCCCTCGTCCATCAGATACTTGGAGATGTAGATACTGGACGACTCCCTGGAGTTGCAAGACACACACACACACACACACACACACACACACACACACACACACACA